GGACGATCAAAGTTTAACGTAGGTGTACATAGGAAAAATCTTCAAAAATCATCTTCTCAAGAACAGCAAAGCTATGATTGGTCATATTTATACGGAAGCATCCTCAGGTGGTGTAGATTCAAGTTTTTACAAATCATGACCCCCGGGGGTAGGGTGGGGCCACAATGGACGATCAAAGTTTAATGTAGGTGTACATAGGAAAAATCTTCAAAAATCATCTTCTCAAGAACAGCAAAGCTATGATTGGTCATATTTATATGGAAGCATCCTCAGGTGGTGTAGATTCAAGTTTGTTCAAATCATGACCCCCAGGGGTAGGGTGGGGCCAAATGGACAATCAATGTTTAACGTAGGTGTACATAGGAAAAATCTTCAAAAATCATCTTCTCAAGAACAGCAAAGCTATGATTGGTCATATTTATTTGGAAGCATCCTCAGGTGGTGTAGATTCAAGTTTGTACAAATCATGACCCCAGGGGTTAGGGTGGGGCCACATTGGATGATCAAAGTTTTACATAGGAATATATAGGAAAAATCTTCAAAAATCTTCTTCTCAAGAACAGCAAAGCTATGATTGGTCATATTTATATGGAAGCATCCTCAGGTGGTGTAGATTCAAGTTTGTTCAAATCATGACCCCCAGGGGTAGGGTGGGGCCAAAATGGACGATCAATGTTTAACGTAGGTGTACATAGGAAAAATCATCAAAAATCTTCTTCTCAAGAACAACAAAGCTATGATTGGTCATATTTATGTGGAAGCATCCTCAGGTGGTGTAGATTCAAGTTTGTTCAAATCATGACCCCCAGGGATAGGGTGGGGCCACAATGAACGATCAAAGTTTTACATAGGAATATATAGGAAAAATCTTTAAAAATCTCAAGAACAGCAAAGCCACGGTTTGTCATATTTATACGGAAGCATCCTCAGATAGTGAAGATTCAAGTTTGTTCAAATCATGACCCCCCCCCCCTCCCCACTCCCTTTTTAGGGATAGGTTGGGACCACTTATGCATTTAAGCTTTTCAATACTAAACTGATTTTTCCTTTTTTCCTAGCCACAGTGCTCAGGTGAGCGAAGTGGCCCTTGGGCCTCTTGTTTTAATTTTGAGTTTTAATTAATAGCACCTTATAAGTGTACCATACTGCTGTTTCATAGTAATCACTCGAAACTCTTGCACACTCAATCTTATAACAGATAAATAGCAGGCTTTTAAAACTTTTTTGTTAATCATAAAAAGTAAGACACTTGCATATTAGGCCATTGGATCCAAGTTTTTTTTTCTATGTTTAGCATCCTTGCACCCTAAAATCAAAATCCTAGCTATCTTTTTAAAGCAAGTTGGGGAAAACATCCTTATTTTGAAGAAAATGTACAATTTCTCATCATCATTTTGGGAATTTCCTACCAAAGTAACAAAAATAAAATACTAGTTCATTAATTTTTTTGGTAACAATTTGGAAAATTTGATGTTAAATGTAGTCCCAAAAGAGTAAATTGTGTTGCAAATATTTGTATACCGGTATATGTTCATTTTAAGTGTGTGATTTTGTTCAATTTTATAACCTTAAGCAATAAAATATTATAATGGCCATAAATGCTGGTAGCCAGTTCACAGAGCTATATTGTATATATTATTCTATGAAAATGTCATATCAGTCTGAAGAGAAGCTTAATGATGTATTTGATGTTAGAAATTTGGAGATATTAAACATTTATTGCATGATCGTAAGGGAAATATGAAGATTTATTCAGCCAAGAAAAATCATGGTTTTGCCCGAGGGAATATGATGTTTCTTGGCTGAATAAATCTTCATGTTTCCCTCACGGTCATGCAATAGATTGTTTATCATACCGGCAAGTTTTCTGAATCACCTGAAACACCCTGTATATACTTTGAACCGTGAATTTTGAAAATAAAGCAATATATATAACTAAATTGAATTCTTAATTATAAGGTGCTGTAAGATATTTATTGGTAAGTGTGCACAAATCTAATCCTAGTGGATGTGATTGGACATGCATGCATAGCTGAAATTTATTTTGCTCTATAGAGTATATTTATCAATTTAATTGCTTATTTGCTTTAACCTCATGCATGTACATATTCTGGAAAATATATTTAAATTCACATGCAATATATCTCTTGTGTCCAATACTGATCCCGCACATCTGGCATATGGATGGTGTATGAATCAAGAAGTCTTCATCCAGAGATTTGTTTAATTTAGGTGGCAGAGGACAGTTTTTTTGACAATCAAAATGTTTGGCTGACGTTTTCCTTAATATCGAGCTGCTTGTAAAATGTGCATTGGAAAATTTTAAATTCTCTCTACATGTAACAATAGTATGGTCTAGTCCCTTGAGGAATTTGAAGCTTTTAAGAATAAAACATGTACAACTTACACAATAAGCCCATATGATGGCACAGGGACAATCTCAAAATTTCATGAAAATTTAGCCTATTTTCACTATTTCGCCAGATCCGCAACTGCTTCCAGACCCATGCTAATGCCCTAAGCCACCACACAAAATGCAGATTAACACCTGTACATACCACTGAACAGCAAGAGATAATGGCTCAACCACCTCGTTTTCAAGCTACAATTCATCCTATGAAACCACCCAGCTTTTCTGAGGAAATCCTTTTGACTTTAGTTTCATATTTCTAGTCCATATCCCATAAACAGTAGTAGTGACACTTAAGTGTCATATATATCAATAAAATATACAAGGCCACCAATTCCCTCCAAATGCACACATAAAAATTCTAGCAATTAAGATACCTATAATATGCATTCAAACCTTAGGTTTCTCTATTTTTAGCTCGCCTGAGCTGAAAGCTCAAGTGAGCTTTTCTGATCACCTGTTGTCCGTCGTCCGTCTAGCTGTCCGTCCATCTGTAAACTTTTCACATTTTCAATTTCTTCTCAAGAACCACTGGGCAATTTTAACCAAACTTGGTACAAAGTATCCTTTGGTAAAGGGGAGTTTAAATTGTTAAAATAAAGGGCCAAGTCCCCTTCCCCAAGGGAAGATAATCAAGAAAAGACAAAAATAGGGTAGGGTCATTAAAAAATCTTCTTCTAAGGAACCACTGGGCCAGAAAAGCTGAAACTTAAGTGGAAGCATCCTGGGGAAGTGTAGATTCTAAATTATTCAAATCATGACCCCCAGGGGTAGGGCGGGGCCACAATAAGGAATCCAAGTTTTACATCAAAATATATAAGAAAAATCTTTAAAAATCTTCTTCTCAAGAACCACTGGACCAGAATAGCTGAAACTTATGTAGAAGCATCCTGGAATAGTGTAGATTCTAAATTGTTAAAATCATGACCCCTGGGGGTAGGGCGGGGCCACAATAGGGAATCCAAGTTTTACATTGAAATATATAGGAAAAATCTTTAAAAATTTTCTTCTCAAGAACCACTGAACCAAAAAAGCTGAAACTTATGTGGAAACATCCTGGGGTATTGTAGATTCTAAATTGTTAAAATCATGACCCCTGGGGGTAGGGCAGGGCCATAATAGGGAATACAAGTTTTGCATTGAAAAATATAGGAAAAATCTTTAAAAATCTTCTTCTCAAGAACCACTGTGCCAGAAAAGCCAAAACTTATGTGGAAGCATCCTGGAGTAGTGTAGATTTTAAATTGTTGAAATCATGACCCCAGGGGGTAGGGCAGGGCCACAATAGGGAATACAAGTTTTACATTGAAATATATAGGAACAATCTTTAAAAATCTTCTTCTCAAGAACCACTGAGCCAGAAAAGCTGAAACTTATGTGGAAGCATCCTGGGGTAGGGTAGATTCTAAATTGTTCAAATCCTGACCCCCGGGGGTAGGGCGGGGCCACAATAGGGAATACAAGTTTTACATTGAAATATATAGGAATAATCTTTAAAAATCTTCTTCTCAAGAACCACTGGGCCAGAAAAGCTGAAACTTATGTGGAAGCATCCTGGGGTAGTGTAGATTCTAAATTGTTCAAATCATGACCCCGGGGGTAGGGCAGGGCCACAATAGGGAAACATTGAAATATATAGGAAAAATCTTTAAAAATCTTCTCAAGAACCACTGGACCAGAAAAACTGAAACTTATGTGGAGGCATCCTGGGGTAGTGTAGATTCTAAATTGTTCAAATCATGGCTCCCGGGGGTAGGGCGGGCCACAATAGGTATTACAAGGGGGGAAGTCTGGTAATGAACAGCATGGCTAAAGTTACTCAGGTGAGCGGTGTGGCCCATGGGCCTCTTGTTTAAGTAAATGATTAAAAACCTAGAACTAGCTTAAAAAAATTTAAAGTTGTCTTGTGTTCAGCTACAAGAATCAACTCTTTGTATTATGGAACCCTCATTACAGTTTTTCTTACTGATATGTATTGTGTTTTCTAAATTTATATTTTTAGCTGCTGCTTCATCCAAAGAAGATTTCAAAACTGTTGCTGCTGATCCACTAACAGCAGGTTCCAGAACTCTTCCTAGTTTACCAGCTTAACCACCCACAGCAGGCTCTGTGACTGTTGCCACTTCACCCACAGCAGGCTCTGTGACTGTTGCCACACCACCCACAGCAGGGTCTATGACTGTTGCCACTCCACTCACAGCAGGGTCCATGACTGTTGCCACTCCACCCACAGCAGGCTTCATGATGTTGCCACTCCACCCACAGCAGGCTCCATGACTGTTGCCACTCCACCCACAGCAGGCTCCATGACTGTTGCCACTCCACCCACATCAGGCTCCATGATTTTGCCACTCCACCCACAGCAGGCTCCAGGACTGTTGCCACTCCACCCACAGCAAGCTTCCTTAATGTTGCCACTCCACCCACAGAAGGGTCCATGACTGTTTCTACTCCACCCACAGCAGCTTCATGACTGTTGTCACTCCACCCACAGCAGCCTCCATGACTGTTGCCACTCCACCCATAGCAGTCTCCATGACTGTTGCCACTCCTGTCCCAGCAGGCTCAATGACAGTTGCCACTCCACCCCATGACTGTTGCCAGTCCTGTCCTAGCAGGCTCCGTGACTGTTGCCACTCCACCCACAGTAGGCTTCCTGAATGTTGCCACTCTACCCACAGCAAGCTCTAAGAGTGTTGTTACTCCACCCACAGCAGGTTTCATGACTGTTTCAACTCCACCCACAGCAGGCTCCATGACTGTTGCCACTCCTCCCACAGCAGGCTTCCTGAATGTTGCCACTCCACCCACAGCAGGCTCCAGGACTGTTGCCACTCCACCCACAGCAGGCTCCAGGACTGTTGCCACTCCACCCACAGCAGGCTTCCTGAATGTTGCCACTCCACCCACAGCAGGGTCCATGACTGTTGCTAATCCACCCACAGCAGCTTCATGACTGTTGCCACTCCACCCACAGCAGCCTCCATGACTGTTGCCACTCCTTCCATAGCAGCCTCCATGATTGTTGCCACTCCTGTCCCAGCAGGCTCCATGACAGTTGCCACTCCACCCTATGACTGTTGCCACTCCTATCCTAGCAGGCTCCGTGACTGTTGCCACTCCACCCACAGTAGGCTTCCTGAATGTTGCCACTCTACCCACAGCAAGCTGTATGAGTGTTGTTACTCCACCCACAGCAGGGTCCATGACTGTTGCCACTCCACCCACAGCAGGCTCCATGATGTTGCCACTCCACTCACAGCAGGCTCCATGATGTTGCCACTCCACTCACAGCAGGCTCCATGATGTTGCTACTCCACCCACATCAGGCTCCATGATTTTGCCACTCCACCCACAGCAGGCTCCATGACTGTTGCCACTCCACCCACAGCAGGCTTCCTGAATGTTGCCACTCCACCCACAGCAAGCTACATGACTGTTGCTACTCCACCCACAGCGGCTTCATGACTGTTGCCACTCCACCCACAGCAGCCTCCATGACTGTTGCCACTCCACCCATAGCAGCCTCCATGACTGTTCCCACTCCTGTCCCAGCAGGCTCCATGACTGTTGCCACTCCACCCCATGACTGTTGCCACTCCTGTCCCAGCAGGCTCCGTGACTGTTGCCACTCCACCCACAGTAGGCTTCCTGAATGTTGCCACTCTACCCACAGCAAGCTCCATGACTGTTGCCACTCCACCCACTGCAGGCTCCATGACTGTTGCCACTCCACCCACAGCAGGCTCCATGACTGTTGCCACTCCACCCACTGCAGGCTCCGTGACTGTTGCCACTCCACCCACAGCAGGCCCCATGACTGTTGCAACTCCTGTCCCAGCAGGCTCCATGACTGTTGCCACTCCACCCACAGTAGGCTCCCTGAATGTTGCCACTCTACCCAAAGCAAGCTCTATGACTGTTGCCACTCCACCTACAGCAGGGTCCATGACTGTTGCCACTCCACCCACAGCAGGCTAAATGAATGTTGCCACTCCACTCACAACAGGGTCCATGACTGTTGTCACTCCACCCACAGCAACCTCCATGACCGTTGCCATTCCACCCACAGCAAGCTCTATGACTGTTGCCACTCCTGTCCCAGCAGGCTCCATGACTGTTGCCACTCCACCCACAGCAGGCTCTATGACTGTTGTCACTCCACCCACAGCAGGCTCTATGACTGTTGTCACTCCACCCACAGCAGGCTCTATGACCGTTGTCACTCCACCCACAGCAGGCTAAATGATTGTTGCCACTCCACCCACAGCAGGCTTTATGACTGTTACCACTCCACCCACAGCAGGCTCTATGTCTGTTGCCACTCCGCCATGCAGAGCAGTCTCTGAATTTTTTCTTGCACCGTCTCCTAGGTCAAGGAAACACCAATCTCATCCTGTAACAGGTACTGTGAATAACTTTTATTCATGAAAATTTTATTTTTGCATAATTAGGCAAGTCTGTCTGCTCATGAAAATTTTATTCTCGCCTATATTTGTATTAGTAAGCATTATATACAACAGAAATTATAGCTTGCTAAAACTTTGCCTTGCTAATAAATACCAAATAACTTTTATTGTGGAATTAAGGTGTTGTGAAAATACAGTGATCTACAGTATTCTACTATTCTATCTTCTATAAACAAAATAGAAATATTTTTTTATTGTTAATTTACTTCTTCAGTTTTAAACTACACACCAGGACTTTAGTCTCAAATGAGCCTTATTAAATTTGCCTTTCTTGGTGTCACAGTACTTCTAAGGAATCTTTTCATATTGTAATTGTCTCCAGTATTTTTGCCAACAAGCTTATTAAATTGAATTGTCATGATGTAGTTAGGGCTTAGGATTAAGACGTGACTTTTTGAAACACGATTGGTTTACAAAAGAGGATCAAAGTTATAGAAGAATTTTCTTAAGTTCAAGTGGAGTTTTTCAGCAAAACAACAGTGCTTTAACTAAATTAAAATATGTTGAGCTTCCTAAGCAGTCCATGTTTTTATGTCATGATGCAGAAGTACTGTTTTAATGTATCCAATAAAAAGTTGAAAATTTAAAAAAGAATGTTCGTATTATTGAAATTGAAAAAAATGAACCATGGTAAGTTTTGTTAGTGTCAAAAATTCCCTTTGATAAAAATGTCGGTATAAAAACTTATTTATGCATTACAGATACTACAAATTATGGTGCTGCTGCCAATTATTCAATTTTAGCTGTTCCAGATATACAGGACTCAGATTCAGCAGAGGGTAATGTTTTCTTTTTCTTACAGCAATAAAAATATAAAAATTATTGTAAAAAAAATCTAAATTTGATTAGGGATGTTAGATTTACAATAAAGGTAACTGTAAATTTGGTTTGGAAAAAAACATGAATCACTGTAAATTAGCACTGTATTTTTTGGTTTGTTATTCTAGAAAGTGAGATATGCCTTTAGAAATGGGTGAAACTTCCTACAGAAGGTGTTTTGACATAGTTTTTAAAAAAGGTTTGCTGGAGTTTCGTTTTTATGAAATTGTTTGCTTTATTAGGAGATATTTGTCTGCAAGCTGGAAGCTAACTTTGCCCAAACCTGACCATCTCTGGGTTTCCAGGGCACTGTTTAGATGGAGTCCAGCAGGAAGAGTGGAATTTGATTCCAGCAAAGTGGACAAGATATGGTGGTACCCACCTCAACCTTCATTGTCATGCAATAATAAACCCAGAATGGACAGTTGCTTTGCTCAGCCACTTTTGTTGTGGATGCCAAGAAAGCTTTGGCAAGTTAAACTTAATTGTTCCCATGAAGATTGTGTAAAACCTGAGCTGACATCTGGAGGGATATATACAAAAGTCAGCCAGGTAATTGATGTAGATGGAAGCTACAACATAGCTGGGAAGTGGCTACAGTGTCCTCACTGCAAAAGAAAGATAGTTAGCTGGAACCAGCACATCATCTCACAGTTAAATATAGGACATCAGACACAATTTCCCTGCATCCTCACGTACAGACTTGCCTCTGACCTCAAGATAATCCGTCTTCTTCGGCAACGTGGCCTCAGCAATAGTGCAAGTCAGATAAGGTCATAACTACAAGAACAGCACAGTGATGCATGGCTTCAGAAGTCTATCCACGATCTGACTGACTGCTAAGGGTTTTCAAATGCAGCCTCTAGGGGTCTTGTCATGCCATCTGCATTTGAAGAGCCACCCACCCCTCCTCCTGTGCCCCATTACCATTGGCTAATGCAAGTATATGCCCAGGATGTACTGCAGATGTTAGAGGAAATTAAGGCCAACATCACCTCCCTGTTTGGCAGCATATTGAAAATTGATTCTACCAAGAAGGTTGTAAAGAAGCTAGCAGGTACAAGCTCTAAGACTGCTATGTGGGCCACTAATATTGGAAATGAGTATGGCCAAGTTATCTTGTCAGTACTAACAACTGGAGAGGGGTCTGGTCTTGGTCCTATGATAAATGGCCTCATGAGATGCTACAGAGAAGCAGAGGTTCCACCCCCACAGCTACTGTATGTAGATAGAGACTATTGTGGAAGTAATCAGCTTAAAAGGATGCTCACATCATGGCCAAATCTCACCATCCATCTGGACATTTGGCACTTTATACATCTTCTTTCTGTTGGCTGCACAACAGATGCACATGCACTATATGCCACTTTCATGTCGTGTCTGCGCGAGTGCATTTATGTATGGGATCCAGAAGATGTTGCAGCACTGGTTGCTGCAAAGAGATCTGAACTGGAGGCTCTCCACACAACAAATCTGAAATATGAGGATGTTCTTCACCATGTGAAAAGTAGTGAGTTGGCTGCTCACTGTAGAAGAACTACCGGTGATGTTGAGGAGACCACCCCCCTCATCACCCAGCTGATTCAGTCTCTTGATGGTGACCGGAAGAGATACCCAGGGAGTTCCTTTATTTAACAGTGAGAGAATGACGCAAACATGGAACCAGCAACAGAAGCATGTGGCTTGCATCCAGGATCCACCAGGTGTCCAGTTGTACTTGCAAACTGGTTCATCAAAGAAAGGAGGGTGCCATCTCCCAGTTTATCAGTGTACAAGAGGATCGAACTTCCTGTAGTGCTTCCATCTGCATTTGGCCTGATTTATTCCAGGCAAGTTACAATCATATGCCAAGTTTTATTAATACAATTATCATGGTCACATGAATTACTTGTTGTTATGAAGGTTACTCTTTGTATAGGTACCTTGGCTAATGCCACTCTTTTCCAAGCCTATCTTTTGGATGGCCTCAGCAGATGGAACGAAGACAGGTCAGTTTCCACCACCACCCAGAAGACTGAACCTCCGACATATAGTGGTTTTCTGAGACACACGATAAACTGTCTTGGAGAAGCTGTTCTTTGGAAAAAGATTATGCCATCCTATACAGTACCTAGAAAGTACACAGGTGAAGATTAGTATCTCTATTGGCATTTCCTTCTCAGAATTTTAATTTTTAGTTGTAGAAAATGATGTAGCAATATTTGATAACATTGAATTTTAAAATTGTCAAAAATAGGAGTGTAACAATATGATTAGGACATATCTTAATTGATACACGGGGACTACCTCGTGTTACATACTGAGATATTTCACCTTTCACATTTCTAATAAAATTTGTATGTCTAATAAAATAATTTCTAATAAAATTTGTCCGTTATCTGTTGTTGTAGCTGTCATTGTCGTTGTAAACTTTTCCCAATTTTCCAACTTCTTCTCCAGATCCAACCAAACTTGCCACAAAGCATCCTTGGTTGAAGGGTATTCAAGTTTGTTCAAATGAAGGGCAACACCCTTGTTCAAGGGGAGATAATTCAAAAATAGTGAGAATTTAATGGCATGTTCCAAAAATCTTCTTCCCAAGAACCACTGGGCCAAAAAAGTTGAAACTTATGTGAAACCTTCTTTACATAGTGTAGATTTAAGTTTTTACAAATGATGACCCCCAGGGTTACAATGGGGGATCAAAGTTTTACATAGGAATATATACGAATTTTTTAAAAAAATTTCTCAAGAATAGCAAAGCCATGATTAGTCATTGTGATATGGAAGCATCCTCAGGTGGTGTAGATTCAAATTTGTTCCAATCGTGACCCCCTGGGGGTAGGATGGGGCCACAATGGGGGATCAAAGTTTTACAGAGAAATATATAGGAATAAATCTTTAAAAAACTTCTTCTCAAGAACAGCAAAGCTATGATTAGTCATATTCTCAGGTAGTGTAGATTCAGATTTGTTCAAATGATGTTCCCTAGGGGTAGGGTGTGGCCACTATGGGGGATCAAATTTTTACATAGGAATATATTAGGAAAAATCTTCTTAAGAACAGCAAAGCCATGTTTAGTTATATTGATATAGAAGCAGGCAGAGTAGTTTCAGATTTCTTTAAATCATGACCCCTGGGGGTAGGGTGGGGCTGCAATGGGGATCAAAAGTTTTACTTAGGAATATATAGGAAAAAATCTTCTTGAGAAGGAATATATAGGAAAAAATCTTCTTGAGAAGGAATATATAGGAAAAAATCTTCTTAAGAAGGAATATATTGGAAAAAATCTTCTTCTCAAGAACAGAAAAGCTGTGTTTAATATTGATAGGGAAGCATTCTCAGGTAGTGTAGATTCAATTTTGTTAAAATCATGATCCCCCCCCCCCCATTTTTTGTTCAAGAACACCAAAGCCATTTGTTATATTGATATGGAAGCATCTGAGCTTTTCAATACTGAACTGATTTGTGATTTCCTAGCCAATGTGCTCAGGTGAGCGATGTGGCCCATGGGCCTCTTGTAATTGAATTTTGTCTGGCATCTCTCCTTGAATTTATCCATCTAGCCTTGAATTTTTGAAATCCTGGACTTCTTATCCAAAACCAGGGGACTAATCAATTTAACTTGGGGTAGAAGATTAAATGTTAGAGCCACACTGAATTAAGGGGGGTGAACCACTTAAGACCCTATCTGCTAGGAAAGAGGAAAGTTTT